TTTTCACTACATCTGTGTCTTTGGGGTAAATACCAGTAGTGCAATTGCTGGGTCATAGGGTAGCTCTATTTTTACTTTTTTGAGGAACCTCCACACTGTTTTCCAAAGTGGCTGTACCAACTTCCATTCCCACCAACAGTGTAAGAGGATACCCCTTTCTCCACAGCCTCTCCAACATTCGTTGTTTCTTGTCTTGTCAATTTTTGCCATTCCAACTGGTGTAAGGTGGTATCTCAGTGTGGTTTTGATTTGAATTTCCCCGATGGCTAGTGATGATGAACATTTCTTCATGTGTCTGTTAGCCATTTGTATGTCTTCTTTTGGGAAGTGTCTGTTCATGTCTTCTGCCCATTTTTTGACTTGATTATTTGTTTTTGGGTGTTGAGTTTGAGAAGTTCTTTATAGATCTTGGATATCAGCCCTCTTAACTGACATTTTAGTTTATTTATTTTTAGTGATCTCTATACCCAATGTGGGGCTCAAACTCATGACCCCAAGATCAAAAGTCACATGCTATTCCAACTAAGCCAGCCAGGTGTCCCTAAATTTTGTTTAAGTAGTCTCTACGCCCAATGTGGGGCTTGAACTCATGACCCTGAGATTACAAATCACATGCTCTACTGACTGAGCCAGTTGGGCGCCCCCTCTTACTGATGTTTTAAAAGGGTAAGTCTGGCTACTGTCGGGACAGTGGCTTGTGGTACATGGCGGGGGGACAGGGAAAGGAGAGTGAAGCTCCTGCTGTAGGTCAGGGGTACAGTGTTGCTAGCTAGGAGTTTGGTGGTGCCAGGGAGATGGGGAGAAGTTGTAGCTTTGAGGTGTGTTGGAGAGATGGAGCTTGTGGAGAGATTGGACCTTGAGTGCGATGAGGGGAAAAGAGGACTTGGGGATGAGGCCTTGGTTTTAGTCATGAATATGTGGCTGGCTGGCAGTGTGTCATTTGCTGAAGCAGGAACATTGAAAGAAAAGCAAGAGTTTTCTTTGGTAGCAGAGCAGGAAATCAGAAGTTCCATTTTGGACACAATAACTCTGAGATGCCCAGTAGACATCTCTGTGAAGATGTAAATAGGCAGGTAGAGAAGGGTTTCTGGAGCTCTAGAAACAAAAGAGGCCATGTTTCAGAGACAGTGGCCTACAGATGGTGCTTAAAGTCATGGAAATACATGAGTCTGCCTAGAAAGAACCTGTATCCAGAGAACAGGACTGACAACCAATATTTAGGATATACCGACTTGGAGAGCTAGTCAGAGAAAGAGTCAACTAAGGAAACTGAAAGAAAGCCAGTGAGGCAGCAAAGAAACTAGCACACATCATGATGAGGAAGACAAGGGAAAAAGTTCTTCAAGGAAGAGCATGATCAGCCATATGGAATAATTTAGACAGTTGGAGTAAGAAGAGGACAGAGAAGTGCCTATTAGATTTGGCAGGACAGATGACCTTCTCTGGCACAGCTTCTGTGGACTTGGGGGCAGAAGCAGGAGACCGTTGCTCTAGACCATTCTTTTGAGAATGGGGACAGAGGAGTAGCAGTGCAACTGGAGAGGGCTGTGGGGGTCAAGGTAGGGTTTTTTCTTAGATGGTGGAGATGGGTGTGCTGATGGAATGACCCATCAAGTAAGATGAGAGAGTACCATGAGGAGGCCCAGAGAGGAGGGGTAGGTAATTACAGGAGTTCTGTCCTTGAGAGAGAGAAGGAGGAGAGAGTCGCGAGGACAGATTGACCTTGGATTGGTTACAACAGACCAACTGCCAATGCTCCTGAGGGAAGGCGGAGGGTACAGACAGGCACAGGTGGGTGAGAAGATTCAGGAGTGAGAAGATGAGATATATGTAGTTCTCCCTGTGTTTGTGTTCTCAAAGAAAACAGGAGATGGGGGTCAAGTGCACGGAGTAGAGTAGATGGCTAGAGATTTGAAGAGAGACAGAAGGAGGGTACAACTGAGTTTTGGAGGCTGGGGAAATGCTTATTGCAAAAAACGGTGAGGGAAAGAAGTGGACCCCACCCCTTTATATAAAGCAAGAGCACAGTGCATGTGTACACACGCACGCGCGCGCACACACACACACACACACACTCTAAGCAGGGGGTCAGAGACCTTCACGGCTAACGAAGTACAGAAGGACGTGAACCGCAATGATCAGGCTAAACTTAGGCTGCTGGACAGAAGAATCTACACCTGAAAAAACTGCATTTTAAGCTGAGGAGAGGGGTCTCTGGACCAGCTAGCTTTCCTCCAGGATTAGATTCTATTTGTTGTCCAATTTCCTCCGTAGGCTGAAAACTGCTCGAATGGAATCACATTGCACTCAGTCTCTTCCCTCATCAATGTGATGTTTGGGAGCCGTGAGAGTGAAGGGCAGTATTTCTAAGACCAGCTGTCAAAAAAGAGACTGAAGTCATAGAGGCCATTGGAGAAGTCCAAGCAAAAGCCAGGAGCCTGAGGTTTCATAGAGAAGAGCTAAAGTTCTTCAGTTTAATTGCTTTCAATCATATAAGCAACAGAGCTGTAACTACAGAGAGCTGTGTGGCTTTCTTTTTATTTTGTTTTGTTTTATTTTATTTTATTTTGTTTTATTTTATTTTATTTTATTATGTTATGTTAGTCACCATACAATACATCATTTGTTTTTGATGTAGTGATCTACGATTCGTTGGCTTTCTTAATGCTGATGTAAGAAATCACCACAGACTGACTGGTTTTAAAGCACATAAGTTTATTATCCTAAAATGCTGGAGGTCGGAAGTCTAAATGAGTTGGCAGGGCTTCTGGGGGCGGGAGGGGAGAAGACAGCCCTCGCCTTTTCGGGCTTCTGCAAGCTGCCTACATTGCTTGGCTTGTGGCCCCGGCTACGTCTTCAGAGTCAGCACTGCAGCACCTCCAGATCTCTCTCTGAGCAGACCTCCGACTTCCCTCATCACATCTCCTTCCCTCTCTTTCTCTTATGAAAAGGCTCTTCTGCTCATGTAGGTCAGGCCCCACTCTATGGCGTAATCAGTCTACCTCAAGATCCTTAACTGAATCCCCCCTGCAAGGTATCTTTGCCATATATGGTAATGTAGTCACAGGTCTGGGCATGGGGACAAGGACATCTTTGGGCAGGGAGGGAGCCCTGTCCTAGCGCCAGAAGCTTCCAGCTTTATCCACTAGTGTGTTGTAGTCCTGTGCTGTAGCTTTGCATTTGCTTCACTCAGCCATCTAAAGCTTTTCTTTTTTATCCAGTGTGTAAAATAATAGGATCTAGAGCTTTTAAAAAAGATACTCGTTATAAGAAACTTTCAGATCAAATGTGAAGTGAACAAGGTATGTTTTCTCTATTCCATCAGTTTTTTGTGTGTGTTTTGGATATTTGGGACTTCAGAACTTCTGCTACATAAAACACTGAGAGTAGACATCCCCTCCTAAAGTTCATGATGTGGTTAATTTACCAATTCGCATAACCCTCAAGTATTAAATTCCCAGAAAATGTTTATTAATCTAAGATTGATGTACCATGTCATTGATGTTTACATCATTTGTCAACAAATTCTGTGTTTATGGGCAAGTGTGCATGCACATGAGGCTGGGTGTGGTATATGACTGCCTCAAATCCTGCTAGAGAAGATGCTGATGTGTAACTTCAGCTTTGTGACCCTGAGGAAGTTATATCACCCTCAGAATCTCACTTGGCTTCTGTGTAATTAATAAGTACACTGCTCTCCTGGGGATAGGGTATAAAATACTTGACTTTTATCCACAAAAGCCCTTATAAGTGCCAAGTATTGCCAAAAACTAAAATTTTGCCATATGTAATTCATCTATATCTCTATAAATTTCCACTCTGTTTTCAATTAGATTTGATATCCCTCATTATTTCTCATTTAGAATCATGTTTGAATTTAGCTTTCAACCATTTTATATTCATTCAAATATTGGCTTCCCTTAGTTCTTTTTTTTCACTGTTATTTAAATTATATTTTATTTTATATTATTTATAAATATATAAATATATAATTATTATTATACTTATTTTTTACTTATTTCATTTCAGCTTTTATTTAGTTCTTACACTTAGCTGTATAACTAGGGGACCCTGGCGGTGGGATTCTAATTATTCTCAGCAGTTTTCCTTTTAGTTTTTAAAGAGATTTCTGTTTGTATCCCATTATGCTTGTTTTTATTAGAGTAAAAATACTATTTAGAAATTTTAGATTGTCTTGATCTATTTTATGACATGTGCATATGGAGAGATACCGCACCTGCCATTTCTTCACAATTGTACTGGTCAGGGTGCTGGCAGGAAACCAAGAACACCCTCACAGGGGATCACTAAAGAGTCACGTGGAAACAGTGAAAAGAAACCAAGAGGGAATAATAAAGCACCTAGGAGCTGGCAGCAGGAGGGCATTTTGTACCTACCTATGCCTCAAAGAACACCATGATGGAGGGATTGCCAAAAGCTGACAAGAGCCGTGGCTGTAGGAGAAGGTCCCAGGGGATGAGCATACCAACTGCCAAATCTCCCCCCAGCCAGGGGAAGGGAGAAGGGAAACAAGGGAAATAAATATCCTGAATGCTGCTCCACCGTGCCAGACCCAGTGGAAGCCAATGGTCAAGGGAGCCAGCTGATGCCTCCATAGCAGTCCATTTCCCGGCACACAGCGGGGGCCGGAGGGGGGAGGCAGTGACCCAGAGGAGCAAACAGAACATGCCCCAGCACAGAGGTCTATTGGAAAAATATTCCAAATTACTTTATCATGGGATTGTACAGAAACACACATGTACCCCTATACTTAAGGCTTGACCCTTTGGTTTCTTTCTCTCACCACTGCTATTGGTGGTTGTAAAGTTGAGCTGGTCACCATGGCTAATGCCCAGATCGGCTCATTTTTCTGTGAGTGTTAAGACTTAACAATACATTCGCAGTGCAGATACCCACAGTGATTGGGGGGAGGGTCCTCGCTTTCCCGGCAGGCCATCTGAGAGGCGCTGTCCTTCACTCTTCCAATCTTTCTTTTCTAGGATGGAGCTTCAGCATGGGGTCAGCTTACCAGTTTCACAGTTGGCGTGTGTTCGTGATAGTCTGCGTGCTCCCCTGCATCTCCTCGGTGGTGGCCCTCACATTCATGCCCGAAAGCCCACGGTTCTTGCTGGAGGTAACATGTATTCCTGTGAATATCTAAGGGAGCCACACACATTGGAAAAAGTTCCTTGTTTGCCTCTCTAGGAGGTACGTTTTCCCTTGCTACCATGGAACCATGGAGGGGTTGGTTTCGTGGAGATGTGCTTTAAAAGACCCGTGTGTGAAAAAGCTGCCTCGTGGCCTGAAAGCACTAATGTTCCTCCTCAAGCAAGTAACTTTTCAGTCAGTGAAGAGACTTTGTCTTTTTTATACATGAACTTTTAGCAGCTAAAGATGCTATTTCTAGTTCTAGGCACATCCACTGAACTGCTCTTGTACTTAAGGATATGCAGTGGGCTATCCCATTTGTGCAATTACACCCAATTTGCTCTGACAACACAAGATGGTTATTGGAAAATCAGGGAGTATAAGTGTTTTACCTTTTAGCCCTTCAGTGTCTGTTTGCATTTCTTAGGTTGGAAAACATGATGAAGCGTGGATGATCCTGAAGTTAATTCATGACACAAACATGAGAGCACGGGGTCAGCCTGAGAAAGTCTTCTCGGTGAGTACCTGCTTCTCAGCAAATCTTCTATGCCAGGGGCCAGGAAACCTTTTCCGAAAAGGCCAGATTGTAAATTTTTCTCTCTACACCAGTTACACTCATCTTTTGGTTCCTCATATTTCCACTTCACTTAGACATGTTTGCGCTCACTGGCTCTGTGTGTACCGTTCGGTCTGCATGGACTGTTCTTACATCTTCTGGTTACCAAGTCTATTCTCAGTGGGGAAAGCCAGTCTAAATTAATGAAAATTGAATGGATGGAATTTTTTGGAAAGAACAATGGTTTAAATATTTTTACATAGGCAGTCATACATTTAGACTAATAATGTTTTATCTGAAATAGGTTTAGGCAGATATACAGTAAGACGTAGGGAGACATAAATAAGATCTTCAATATCTTATAAATAACACCAACTACAGGTGTTAAAACATGAAATAGTTCCTCATTAAACAGTCTGTTGACATCTTATTTATTTCATTTTTACTTAGGAAACAAATTTTTCAAATTGTAAATATAGACTTAAGTTTGGCCTTTATCTAAATTACCACACAATCTTCATTAGCACAATTTTTTATGCAATGTAATGGAGAAATGAAAGTCAGTAATGGATGTTCTCCATTGAGGACCTGAAAGTCTTTGAATAGGCCCTTCTTTTAAGCAGATGCACAACAGAGGAAGGATTTTTTTTAAATGAAAGGATCAGAAGGTTAGAGGAATCTTGAGGCATCATCTAGATACTCAGTGTCACTTAACCCTTCTTAGCCACCTGAGGGAAAAACCCTTTACCAAAGGGATCTTCTGAGAAGGAGAGTCTCTCCAGGGCCTCACTGTGCTACTTACCTGCTTTTTCCTCCAGAAGGTTTGAGTTACCAAATTCACACATGGTCATCCATGTTGTTACTAGATTAGGTGAGAACTGGGGGGAAGAGTCCAAAAGAATGGATAAACTCAGAGTCATTTATTATGTGACTTTCAAAGTCATTACATGATTCCACCATGACAAATTTGTCTTTTTCCTTATTATGCCTACAATATAGTGAATCTGTATGTGTTCCTCCAAAGCCTTCTTTTAAAGCTCTTCTTCTTATGCCCCTACCTTAAATATTGTTTTCCAGGACTCTATTTTTAGCTAATTTCTCTTTTAATCCTATATGCTTTCCTTAGCTGATTCTAGCTCTCTATCTCCTAATGGACAGTTCTCCTGAGCTCCAGACATACATGTTGAAGGCCTTTATGGACATCCTTTTATGTCCTTTCAAATCTGAATTTCTGAGTCTGAACTTAGCACCTTAAGAGTCTTCAAGCTTCTTCTTTTTACTAAATTCTACCAGAAGATACCACCAGTACCACAAACTGGAAAACCTTAGAACTACCCTATTTCTTTCTTCCCCTTTATCCCCACAGTATTCAAGGAATCACTGTGTCCTGTTATTTCCTATCCTAAATATCACTCCTCATTGTTCCTTACTTTTGACCCTACTGCCACTGATTTCTTTCAGCCCCCTTTACTCACTGCCCTCTGCCCTTGGACTATTCTTCAGGAATCTAAAACTCTTTGTAGTTTTAGTAGAAAAGAAATTAGTAGAAAACAATACCTTGTTTTCTCTCACAACTCAGGATGTTTGCACATGGTATCTCACGCTTGGAATGGCCTCCAAGTGGTTTACATACATGGCAAATGACATACTTCTCCATAAGTCCCAGCTTAGGTTCAGTCCATGAAGGCTTCTCTCATTCCCGAGTCAACTTGGGTGTTCTATAAAATACATCTCTCCCATCCAATATAGATCTACATCACAGGTTTTTTTCTTTGTATGGTAATTGCTGGGAGGATGTCAGTAATGGGTATTTTATGTTTGCATCTCTGTAGTCTAGTGCTGGACCTGGTACCCAGTGGGTGCCCGTGAGTGAATGAACAAACAAACACTGATGAGTAGAGAAGAAGAAGCCTCCCAAAAATAATATGTTGAGCGATAAGAACACCTCTGTGATTTAAAAAAAAATCTAGAGTATCACAGAATAATGCCTCCATGGATTATTTTGAGCTGACTCTATTTGGAATCCCACATTTAACTCAGACATTATTTTCATTAAATACAGACCTCTTTGTTGACAGAGCCAGGAAGAGTCTACTGCTTACCTTGTATAATTTGGAAGATGCTGAGGGTCCCCAAATGACCACTGTCAAAAGATAGCCTGGGTACCTGGATTCTCACAAAAGAAGTGCTGCTTTGGATGTGGGCAGAATCTCCAGAAAAAAAGTGTTCAAAAGTTCAAAAGTGTTCAAAAGTGATCCCTGGCAAGGGTCACATTTGTGCAATTGCTGTGTTCTCTCTCGAAAGTTACATAAATATTGACTAACACTGTAAGATGGGACAGGTCCACAAAAGGAACCATTCTTTTTTTTTTTATTTTTATTTTTTCTGTTTTCAGGCTTCATTCTCTGTGTTGAAAGCATTGCCTATCCTGTGTCTAGGTTCTTTTCCTGAGCAGAAGAGGCTAACTTAAGTCCTAGATGCAGCTTTTCACAGTGTGTCTCCCATCATTTATCCCCCCTCTGTCACGGAAGAATCTGTTAGAACTCATTCTCTCGACTCTGCACCGGGCTCGCCTGTGGCTATTTGCTGACCAGCCGCTGTGGTGTTAGGCTACTGGAAAGGGAAAGAAGGGGCATAAAATGTAAAGATAACTTTTAAGAATACAAGTTGGATGGGGAAGCTTTAAGAACTGTGTTGAGGGGCCAAATGTATCAAATCAGTAGGCTCCAATGTAAAGTATGTACAATCACTTCAGTCCAAGCAAAATAATTCTTATTCTAGAAGCTAATCTCTCTGAATGTTTTATCTGCGAAATGTGTGCCTTTATGGTTTCCAAAGAAGGACATTTGGGGCTCATATTACTCCATCCCTCCCTGTTCTTCTGCCTTGTTCCGTGGTATTCCCTCCTATTCATTCTTTATGCAGTTCTTTTAGGTGGTGTTGGGATGTGTATTCTTACGCCCATGGTCTCATGTAGGAATGGAATGATTATCAGATACCTGCTTACTTTTGTGGGAGTTGGCATTTGCTCCTCTCAAAACAAAAAACTGAGCCCTTGGCACTGTGTTGTTCTCTACAGGTCCACAGAATCAAAACCCCCAAACAAATAGATGAGCTGATTGAAATTGAGAGTGACACAGGCACGTGGTACAGAAGGTGTTTTGTCCGGATCCGCACGGAACTCTATGGAGTAAGTAACAGACCCGCCCCGAGTGCCGGCCAACATGTCACCTTTGAAGTTGGTCAGAAGCAGGGTTGATCGTGGCCGCCCTGCGTGGGACTGTGCCCCCTGCTGTCCAGGACACCTCATTTGCCTGCACGGGGACCAGGTGAAATGACCCCCCTGGGATAAGTGGGCTAGCCAAGTCCATCTTTGGGAAGGGAAGGTGCTAGGCAAGGAGTCTTGGCAGGGCTGGGACACACTGAAGTTTTAAGTTACTTTGTCCCTTGGCTTCCAGGCAGCTAAAAAAGTGAAGCTTGCAGGATTCGGTTTCCTAGAGCCTTCAGCCTTAACATTTGAAGTTCCAATGAATCTGGCTAAAAGAAAAGTCAGTGTTTTTATAACTGGTGAAGGGGATTGGGGAGTGGGTTCACTGCATAACCGCACAAGAAAACTAACTCTTGAACATTTCACAGATTTGGTTGACTTTCATGAGATGTTTCAACTACCCCGTCAGGGAAAATACGATAAAGCTTACAATTGTTTGGTTCACCCTGTCCTTTGGGTAAGTAATATTTCAGTTCTTGGTGAATGAAATCTTTACATTTCCACCCAGTAACTCTCAGTCACGCGGCTCTCCTTTCTTACACTGTTTAATGCTGTTAATATATTAGGAAAGATTTTTTTTTTCAGTTTAGCTTTGCTGACCATGACAGTTTTTATAAATGACTTACCTTGGGGCGCCTGGGTGGCTCAGTCATTAAGCGTCTGCCTTGGGCTCAGGTCATGGTCCCGGGGTCCTGGGATCGAGCCCCGCATCGGGCTCCTTGCTTAGCAGGGAGTCTGCTTCTCCCTCTCCCACTCCCCCTGCTTGTGTTCCCTCTCTCGCTGTGTCTCTCTGTCAAATAAATAAATAAAAATCTTTAAAATAAATAAATGACTTACCTCATCTTATCACAATGCTGGGTGACAAAACCAATAGTCCTTGGAAAGTCTGATGAGACTGTGGGTGATGTGCTCCCCATAGCTTCTCCACCCTCTTCTCCTTGTTTGCTTGGAACCAGCCACACTGGCCTCCTTGCTTTTCCTTGAACATGCCAGAACGTTCCAATCTCAGGGAACTGCCTTGGCACTGCTCCCCAGACATTGCCCAGCTCATTTCCTCACCTCTTTTGAGACTTGGCTCAGATGTCACCTTCTCAGGGTCACCTTCCTTAAGCACTTACTTAATTGCAGCCCCTCAGCACTCCCTACCCCCTTCTAAGCCTTATTATTCCCCCAAAGCACCTTCCATCTTCTAATATACAAAAAATTTCTTTATTCTCTAGAGAATAAAGCTCTGTCTCCCCCTCTGTGGAAGCTCTGTGAGAACAGGGATTTTAAACTGTCTTGTTCACTCCTCTATGCCCCTGGCACATAGTAAGTGCTCAATAAGTAGTTACTGAATGAATAGAACCACCATATGTGGGTTCTAAGAAAAGAGGAGATAGGAAGAAAATATCAGAATTTTATTTGCTAATGGCTTTAGGATATTTATGTCCAACTCTATTTTGTGTAATTTACTGTTTAAAAGAGGCAGTTAGATAATACCCTATACTTACAGGTCAGTTGGCTCTTAATGCCCTAGTAGAGCCCAACATCTGTGCTGCAGGTTCTATCTGTAAACATCCCTAAGTTAAAACAGGTGAGGGATCAAAGATGGTTGGTTTTTCATAGTGCCGTGAGGGGTGGTAAATGGAGAGACAAGGAAAGTGTGGATCAGAAAACCTAATACCTCAGGGCGCCTGGGTGGCTCAGTCGTTAAGCGTCTGCCTTCGGCTCAGGTCATGATCCCAGGGTGCTGGGATCGAGCCCCACATCGGGCTCCCTGCTCAGCGGCAAGCCTGCTTCTCCCTCTCCCACTCCCCCTGCTTGTGTTCCCTCTCTCGCTATGTCTCTCTCTGTCAAATAACATCTCAAAAAAAAAAAAAAAGACCTAATACCTCATTCTGCTCTGTGACTTGGAGACACTACCAAGTTTTATTTCCTTATTTCCAAGTTAAGAGGGTAGATTCAGAATATGTAAAGTAACTCCCACTCAAGTTCTAGAAGACACATTAATCAATGAAGGCAGAGAAGGCTAAAAAGTGCCTACTATGTTCTAAACACTCAACTAGGTACAAAGATAAGTAGTCAAAAGTTCTATTCTTGATGTGGAGATTTACATGGTTTGCTAATATTTTGTTATTTATTGCTGACCACATTTTAAGCTTGATGGTTTCCTTGTAATATCCCTGAAATGTTAAAGAGTGGCTAGCATTTGGTAGATATTCAGTAAATGTTCGCTGAATAAATGAAAAATTAGCTGAAACTCCTCCACATCATTGATGATATACATTCCAGGCTAGCGTGCTGCCCTCATTGTTGCCACTTTCAAAGATTTTTGTCCTGAGTATATGAGTAGAGAGCAGTGTGATCGATGTTCCATCCCTGAGTCATTTCTGCTTTAGTGGCCACCACTCACACCGCCACAGTGATTCGGTCATGGTCTATGAAAAGAAGGGGTTGGAGATCTATGGAATCCTAAGGCAGAGATGTTTTAGAAATCTTGATGACAGTGATGAGGATAAACACTGAAGTCTTTTGAACACTCACTATGTGCTAGGCACTTTGCATCCCATTTAACCAGAGTGAGGAAGGTGGGTACTGTCATTGCTCTGATATTAGACATGGGGCACCTCAGGCTGAGATGAGTGTGCATCCAAAGAATCACCTGGAGGACTCCATCTCCAGAGTTTCTGATGCAGCCATTCCGGATAGCACCTGAGAGTTTGCATTTGTAACGAGTTTTCAGGCAATGCTAATGCCGCTCATCCAGAGATCCTACTTCAGGAACCACCAGCGTAGAGCAGCGCTCTCTAATAGAAATAAAATGCAAGCCACATATGTCATTTTAAATCTCCGAGCAGCCACATGAAAGAAAATAAAAAAAACAGATGAAATTAATTTTAATAATATACCTTATTTAGCTCATTATGTCCAAAGTAGTGTAATTTCAACATATAATCAATATAAAAATGATTAATGACTTAATTTTACATTCTTTTTTTTCATTAAGTCTCCAAATTTGATATCTTATACTTAACAGCAGATCTCATTTGGATTAGCCACATTTGTTGTTTTTTTTTTTAGCTTTTATTCAAATTCCATTTAGTGAACACACAGTATAATATCAGTTTTAGTTGTACAACATAGTGATTCAACTCTTCCATACAATACCTGGTGCTCATCACAGCAAACACACTCCTTAACCTTCACCTGTTTCATCCATTCTCCCGCCCCCCCCCACCTCCCATCTGGTAACCATCAGTTCTCTATAATTAAGAGTCTCTTTCTTGGTTTTCCTCTCTTTTTTTTCCCTTTGCTCGTTTATTTTGTTTCTTAAATTCCACATATAAGGGCGCCTGGGTGGCTCAGTTGGTTAAGCGACTGCCTTCGGCTCAGGTCATGATCCTGGAGTCCCGGGATCGAGTCCCACATCGGGCTCCCTGCTCAGCAGGGAGTCTGCTTCTCCCTCTGACCCTCTTCCCTCTCATGCTCTCTATCTCTCATTCTCTCTCTCTCAAATAAATAAATAAAATCTTTAAAAAAAAAATTCCACATATAAGTGAACTCATATGGTATTTATCTTTCTCTGACTGGCTTATTTCACTTAGGATAATACTCTCTAGTTCTGTCCACATTGTTGCAAATGACAAGATGTGATTCATTTTTATAGCCAAGTAATATTCCATTTATATGTACATATATGTAAACACACACACACACACCCCACATCTTCTTTATCCCTTCATTAGTCAATGGGCATTTGGGCTGTTTCCATAATTTGGCTATTGTAGATAATGCCGCTATAAACATCAGGGTGGATGTATCCCTTTAAATTTGTATTTTTGTGTTCTCTGGGTAAACACCCAATTGCTGGATCATAGGTATTTTTCCAAAGACCTATGAATGGGCCACAGACACATGAAATGTACCATCACTGATCATGAGGGACATACAAATCAAAACTATAATGAGATATCACCTTACACCTGTCAGAATGGCTAAAATCAGCATACAAGACAACAGGTGTTGGGGAGGATGCACAGAAAGGGGAACACTCTTGCGCTGTTGGTGGGGATGCAAGCTGGTGCAGCCACTCTGGAAAACAGTATGGAGGGTCCTCAGAAAGTTAGAAATAGAGCTACCCTATGACCCAGCAAGTGCTCAGTAGCCCCCTGTGGCTAGAGACTGCTGTACTGAAGAGCACAGCAGAATGGCTGAGCTGCCCCCTGCTAGAGTCCTACGTAAGAGGGTATGGCAGAACGTGGGAATAACCTGGATTTTCAGATAATAACCCAAATGACCCTTTTCCCAGCCTTGAACCATTTGAGAAATGGGTCTCTGCCCTCGGGCTAACAGTATCACAGTAATGTAGGCACCAAGAAATAGTCCCCATTAGTAAAAAGGTCATTCTTTAACAGTACTCAGAGTTTTGGGAGCCCAAGAGTTTGTACCACCAGACTAGGAGATGGGGTTCCTCAGTGAGGCCTGGGGTGATGAGATTAACATCAGGGTCAGGGAGCCCTGTGCTGGTGTAGGTTGCAGGTCCCTGCCCAAAGGCAGAGTGCAGGACCCCTATCCCCGGGGCTTCCCAGGCAGTCTCTCCAGCGAGATTTTTGCAGACTGACGCATGGCAGGGAGGGGACAGTACAGATGACTGCTTGAGGATTCCTGGTGTTGCAGGGAGCCAATCAGAATCACAAGTGCTTCTCCAGGAACCCCTGCCTCTCTGAAAATGTGGCGGGGTTGGGGGGGGGTCACTACCACCGGGTGTGCCAGCACCCGTACATACTCCCATGTCTTTGTCTTTGCAGGTACTATGGATTATCTGTGTGGTTCCCTGATGTCATTAAACATCTGCAGTCGAACATGTTGCCCATTGAAAAGATCGAGAGAGAGAAATTTTCAAATTTCAGTGTTAACTTTACAATGGCAAATCAGTTGCACACGGGAGCGGAATACGACAACGGCAGGTCCAGAAACTTTGAAATAACTTAATTTGCTATCTGTTCTGAAAAATGTCTTTCTTCTGAGACTTCGCTGCATGGAAGCATGCACTGTTGCTTGTTTTTTGGTTTTTTGTTATTTTAGTTTGTACGCTAGTCATTTTCAAACTCAATTTGAACACGTCCAAATGAGCTTTTAAAAAAAAGCTGTATGTGTATCAGTCCTTGGCTTAAAACTGCTGCTGAAACCGCCGTTTCACGTTTGTGAAGTAGCGGAATTAACTGGTATGAAGAGAAAATTTAGAGACGCTGGAAAGCCACAGAAATAAGTCATGGAAGAGAAGAGTGAGGAGTACGAGGAAGTAAAATGGGTGATGGTGTTACTTAATTCAGAGAAGAAACCCGAAGTGTAACTTGATGCCTGTCTCCCACCCCTGAAAAAGGGGACCACTTTTCAGAAGCCCTTCCTTCTCCGGGAGGCTGAATCAAGAAGTGGCGCTACATCGTATCAGGAAGACTTTCCCTTAGAGAACAGGAATGATTCCCCAAAGTTCAGGGCTTTGAAAATACGGAATAAGTTAGCAAAGGACGTTTTTGAAGATGGAATCTGGAATGCATCTTGATAAGGGGAGAGAACTGGCTCAGGAAGGTGGTTCCAGTGCATTCTTTCAGGGAGGGAAAGGGATAGACAGGGCCATTTGTTTCTATCCGTTAGTTGTTGTCTGAGCAAATAATGGCTGACGTGAGCTCCTGGTGGTTTACATTATTCTTAGGAAATTGTGCCAAAGGCAGAAATGGTAAAAGTAAAAAATTTTTAAAAACTGAACAAAGTTCTGCAGGGCAAAACCACTTTGGAAGGATGAAAAAGAATTCTATAGGATGCTTATGGTTTCTATAATGAAAGGGAGAATTATGAAGTAGGAGAGAATTGTTTAAATTGGCAGTTCCATGAGGGGCCTAATCCTTATGCAAGCCATGTGGGATCACCTTCACTCTCCCACGTAAAATACCAACCAGAGTCTGTGCTTGTTTTTCCATGGAAACCTTAGAGTCCCGTGCTCGGTAATGGCAGGGTAAAATTTTACTTCATTTATTTTTAAAAGTATTGTTACTCCATTAGAAATATGTCTGATATGTTTGTGTCTCTGACATATTTTAAATGATGCCTGTTAAAGTTCTAAGCCGATTCTTCAGTCACCACCAGGAAATTTTTTACATTAGCAATATAAGGATTAGCGATTTTAATAGTATTAAAATCCCTGTAAAACATATATATTTATTTTAGAAGGTGATAGAATTTTTATTGATTTTTTGTTTGTCTTTCAGGGAAATGGGAAATGCCACTAGCTAACTCTTTTTTTTACAAAGAGCTTTCTTTCCTATTCAGTATCATAAAATGGCACCACTTTTCAATGCTGTGGTACTGATCTGGAATAGCCTCCAGGGTAGACTATCATGAAGCAAAGCAAAAGGTGTAGAATAGTGTGTTTCACTTGCTAGCACTCCATAAATAGAATGCTCCTCAAGAGCACACGAGAAACTGGCCACACTGGCCATCTCTGGGCAAAAGAACTGGGAGAGTCGAGGATGGCTGGGAAAAGACTTACTTTATCCTTTTTCAATGTTTTCAATTTTGTACCCTGTGTACTCTGTGTACATAAGATCTATTCATAAAAAACCTAAAATGGTTTTCCCTTTCGAAATTCATCTATTTCAGAAAATTGCTAATATTCTTAAAATGTGCCATTATTGGGGCACCTGGGTGGCTCAGTAGGTTAAGCGTCCGATTCTTGATTTTGGCTCAGGTCATGATCTCAGGGTCATGAGATCAAGTCCCACACCATGCTCTGCACTCAGCGTGGAGCTAGTTTAGGATTCTTTCTCCCTCTCCTTCTGCCCCTTCCCTGCTCACTCTCTCTCTCTCTCTCTCTCAAAAAAAAAAAAGTTCCACTAATTATCCTTCTTTAGTGGGTAAATTTATGGTTTAGATGGTTTTACTCTAGACCCGTGGAGTAAAGGTTGAAATAAGATTATTTTTTAAGATGGTGGTGTGTTAGGCCACAGTGCACTTTGAGCTGACAAAAACAATCAGGCATTAAGGTGAGAACAATTTTGAAAGTACTAAAGAGCGTATAGCTTTTAAGTCAGTCAGCTTGCTTACCTGGGAGGCTCAGACCCTTTCTGCCCTGAGCGGTATTTGGTGTAATAACTTATTCTCCAGTTGAACAAGCATTTTCATCTCAGTGACTGGCTAAGTATACATTCATTGTTTCTTAGTAACTTACCGAGACACAATATGACTATTGATCCCTGTCTTCTGGGAATACTTATCAACACGGACAGATCGGAGTCGTAGACTCTTTTAAGATGTTAGAATCATCACGACTATTATCATCTTCACCACCTAGAATCACTCCCCCCCCAAGCCCCTTGCAGCACCCAAAAAGGTATCTGAGCAGGTTTCATCATTCTACACTTTTCCAAAAGAGCAAAGCTCTCTCATCACTCTGCCTGGTTCAAGCAATACCTGTTGGCTTTGAGAAGAAAAATATTCATGGAAATGAGAGTGACCCGTGAATTTCTTTCTTTCTATGAGCCTGAGTTCATCATTCCTCATATAAATGAAGCAGAATTCTCGTGTTGTCTCTTCAGAATAACCAGAAATCCCTATAGGAGAATGAAGAAGACTTGAATTTTTAGCTTAGGAAACAGACTTCCATTAAAAGTGAGCGTGGGAGCACATTCTAAAGTTCAAGCCGTTAACCTCAAATAGAGAATTTTCAAATAAAGGCATATGATCAAGAGCAAGGGGATGGGATTAAAAATAAGGAATCAGTAGCCACAGTTAATCTCCAAACTCTCCACCTTCAATAGCGTACTCCACAAAATCTTTTACCAACATTGCAAAGCTAAATGAAGTTTTCTTGAATGCCAGCTCTTCTGCTGGAAAATAATATCGGTGAGCCAGGAGATAGCCAAAGGACAGGCTGCATGAGGAAGAGGGGAAGCTGAGAGCCTAGAAGATCCAGAGACTAATGTCTCTATGGAGAGTCCGTAGTGGGGCATCAGATTTCTAAACCTGTTTGACTTCACTCTGAACCCTGATGGACACAGTCACTGATAAGAATTTTTCTGTGTGTTTTTTGGGCAGATTTCTAGGGATGAAGTTCAAATCTGTAACTTTCAAAGATTCACTTTTTAAGGCCTGCATCTTCGAGGACGTGACTTCAGTCAACACCTACTTCAAGAACTGCACATTTATTGACACTGTTTTTGACAACACAGGTAGGTGTGCTACTTAGCCGTGCCTGGGGCCTCTTCAAATGGCCCAGTTCTTGGCAGAAACGTGACACCCCTGTGACAGTGTGGGCAGCAGCTTATGCGGAAAGTAGAAATTAAAGTGTGAAGGAATGGATTTCCTTAATCACACTGGATCATAGTTAAGCTTTTATTATTTGTCTCTGTCAGATTTAATGCAAATGGGACTTGCTGAAGTTCCAAGTTAAAATAAAAAAATCCTGAGGTGCCTGGGTGGCTCAGTCGGTTGAGCGTCTGGCTCTTGATATCAGCTTAGATCATGATCCCAGGGTCATGAGATTGAGCCCAGTGTCAGACTCCACACTGAGCATGGAACCTGCTTAAGATTCTCTCTCTCTCTCTCCCTCTGCCCCACTCCCACCCACCCTACTCGTGTGTGTGCACAATTTCTCTCTCTCTAAAAAAAAAAAAAAAAAATCCTTTGAGTAATTTTTTAAAGAGATTTTATTTATTTCTTTGAGAGAGAAAGAGAGCACAGGTGGGTGGAGGGGCAGGGGGAGAAGCAGGCTCCCCACTGAGCAGGGAGCCCAATGCGGGGCTCGATCCCAGGACCCTGGGATCATGACCTGAGCCGAAGGCAGATGCTTAACCGACTGAGCCACCCAGGCGCCCCTCCTTTGAGTAGTGTTTGAAGAAAAGAATTACCCTGTAGTTTGTTTGTTTGTTTATAATCCTGGCTTCAAAATTTGATGTCCACTTAAGTGATCATGCCTGAGCCGCAGCAAACAGAGATGGACAACGCATGGCTGTTTAATCAGATAGTTTTTTAGTGCAATCCTGGTAATGGAGTTTGGAAAACTCCCCAGGGGAAAAGAGGGGCAGGGGGGAAACTGATTGAGCATCTACCATATGCTGGTTCCTACTCTACGTCATTAGACATTATCTCATTTGGTGAGATAATAGTGGAGACTTGGAAAAATTAAGTAATTTGGCCACATTCTTAGACCTGGTAACAGCTAACAGTTTTATCTGATGGCAGAGCCCTTGCTTTCCCACCCTTGCACTCTGGTGTGTCTGTCCTCTGAATCCGAAATAACAGCCCAGAGCTGGCAGGAGTATAACGCTACCTTGTTGCCAGCTAGTGACTGTCCAATAAGGGCAACTCTTACTCCTTTGGGCCTTCCTCCACTTTGACCTCAACTTCTACATTCAGCCTCAGTGGGCCCAAGGAAAGTCCTGTTCCTTCTCTTTGCCTCCGAGTCCCATAAAATAGCAGTGATAAGGCTGATTCATCCACATTTTGAAACAAATTGTTTTTGTAATTGTGGTATGAAAGCTATTAGTACTATAATGATAGTACTTATGTAACATGATAATTAGAACAAAGTAACATTATAAAGAAGTAAGCAAGTAATGTAATTAGCGATGGCCAACCATAAAAAAATCAGAGAATAACTGGACTCCTTAACGTATTCTTTTATTCAACTTGTAATGTGAGGTTCTAGACTAGCCCCTGTGCTTTGGCCAGGACCTGAAGCCCTCAAGTTTACAAAACCATGTTTCTTTTCTGAATTCTTGACTGGCTTTCTTAGGCTCGTGTGCAACTATAGAGAGCTTGATGAACTGTCTTTGTGTCCACAGATTTTGAGCCATATAAATTCACTGATAGCGAATTTCAAAACTGCTCATTTTTTCACAACAAGACGGGATGCCACATTACCTTTGATGATGACTATAGTGCCTACTGGATTTATTTTGTCAACTTCCTGGGGACATTGGCCGTGTTGCCAGGGAACATCGTGTCTGCTCTCCTGATGGACAGAATTGGGCGCTTAACAATGCTAGGTATGTGCTTGGTTTCATATAAAATAAAAGAGCTGCCCTTGTCATCTCCAGGGAGCCTGGTCCCCACTATATTCCCTGCCCCCTTAGGGATTTGTATACCATAGAGATGAGGAGAAATTCCTTAAGACCTTTCATTAGGACTAAATTTCAGTGAAAATTATGTCTAATTACATTTCATTTGAGGTGCTTCCATGAGTTAACAGACTGAAGAAATAATTATGTGTGACTAATGTATATTTTTCCACTTAAGTAACTAAGTAATTGACGATGTGCATTTCCTGCTTGCTGTGTTCAGAAGGCAGTTGGGGAGGCAAACCTTTATACAGGTGAGGCTACCTGTTCCTGAGCCTTTGGAGTCCAGGCCACGGCCTCCCCTTGGGATTCAGTTTTGCTGAGAGATGTCGAAGACCCAAGGATCATTCTCTCCTAAGATGGCGGGAAACATGGCAGCCTTTTGTTGGCTTCGTTGGCAGGTGGCTCGATGGTGCTTTCGGGGATCAGCTGTTTCTTCCTCTGGTTGGGCAGCAGTGAGTCCATGATGGTAGGCGTGCTGTGTCTGTATAATGGATTGACCATCTCGGCCTGGAACTCTCTGGATGTGGTCACTGTGGAACTGTACCCCACAGACCGCAGGTATGTTGAAATGGGCCTCTAGGAAGAGGCACTCTGGGCTTCTTGGGACCACAGAGAAGTCACAGAAAAATAAGCCAAACTGTCATTTCCCAAAGGAAGTGAAAATCCAAAAAAATACCTGGTTTATGAGGTTGTAGTTTTCACTCATACCTTTTAAAAAGAAAATGTCAGGGAATATAGTTGCTAGCAGGAATAAGTAATCGGGCAGTGAAACTAGTGAAGGGATTTAATTGTGTCCATGACTTAGTTTGTTGGCCGACAATATGAGCGACCTATAATGCAGTTGTGAGGGGTAGGATTTAATAGCCACTCTTGGACCACATTTTCAGCTGCTAATCAGTCCTGAGAGGACTCTTACCTTCCTTTGCAAGTGTCTGCATGAGCTTTGTATTAAGCAACCACAGAGAAGTCTCTAGACCCTATCTCTTGACCTTCCTGGTCTGTTGGAGGAAAGCCCAAGATATTTCCAGTTACAACAACAACAACAACAAAGATTCCTAGTAGAAGAAACTTATGCATCAGTCCCAACATGAAGGTAAAAAGCATCTTATATCAGAGAAAGGACTAAAAGATAGACTTTTGGGGTTGAGCTGTAGCAGCTGTATAATTAAAAGAATAGAAGCCCTGTTTTCCCATTTGACATGAGCAAAGACAAATGGCCTTTTCCTTCTTTTATTTCGTGTATACTTTGTCACCATGGGAGCCCTCTCTGCTGAGGGATGGGGTCAGTATCTTCTGAATTTTGAAGTGGAGGAGGGATTTTCCTAGAATTATGCAGAGACATTTGGGGTAAGAATTTTCAACAACATCTATTACTGACCATATAGGAACATTATAGGAACTATATACCCATCTCCTGCAGAACATCTCAAACTCTTATGGATGTGTCCTTATCCAAGTTCTACTAGACCCTCAGTAACCTCCTATTGAATGTTTAGGCTCTGAAAGGAACCATATACTCCACATGCAGCATCTCCTTCATTCATTCAACAAACATTCATTCTCTGCTGTGAACGAGCTCCTGAGGTGGATGCCATGGGCCTTGGGATGAGGGTGCTGCCAAAAAAAAAAGAAAGAAAGAAAGAAAAGATTAAGACTCTGCAGTATCCACTGAGCATTCTTTTATCAACCTTTCTTCCTGCAAACTGGGCCCAGATGTGGATTAAACTGTACATTTAAAATAAATCCCTTAATGTTAAAGCCACACTATGGCATAGCCGGATGCCTTTATGTTACACGTGTAAGAGTTTGCTACTCTTTAGCTGAATCAGCTACTTATCCCTCTACCGTACGGGATGGAAGGATGAATATTCTTCTATGGCAAAATCTGGCTTAAAAAACAAAAAGCAAGAGGGGAAAGGGTGCAGGGTTTGAAACATGGCGGACGACATGGACCAGCAACAAACTACCAACACTGTAGAAGAGCCCCTGGATCTCATCAGGTTCGGCCTGGATGAGCGAATTTATGTGAAAATGAGAAATGACAGAGAGCTTCGAGGCAGATTACATGCTTATGATCAGCACTTAAATGATATTGGGAGATGTGGAAGAAACTGTGACTACTATAGAAATTGTTGAGGAAACGTACCAAGAGATATATAAATCAACAAAACGGAATATTCCAATGCTTTTTGTCCAGGGAGATGGTATTGTACTAGTTGTCCCTCCATTAAGAGTTGGCTGAAACAAAGAATTTATCATGTATGGAATATAGGAGCTTTTGTATGATTGCCTCTTTAAATGTAGAAGACATTCAAAAGAGAAACCTGTGTAAATTTTGATATTAACAAATGACCAAGGGTTCTTCCACTCCTGAAACGAGTTAATTTGCGGATAATTAAAAAATTCTCAGGCTAAAGGGCATTTTAATTTTTTTCCAACCCTTTCAATAAATGTGATCACCAAGATGCAAAAAAAACCAAAAAACAAGAAACAATGAATTGGGCAGGTTCCTCCGATGAGAAACATGGACCTGCTGTAATTCAACAGAATTTGTTGGTAAAAATAGAAATTGCTGTTTGTGTTTGCTCGGGTCCTCTGAGAAGCAGAGGACAGGACGGAACTAAACGTGGGTGAAGATTTTAGTAGGAGACATGGCTGTGTGAGAGAAAACAGGGAGGGAGGTGAAGTCTGGGAGAGCTGCAGGCACCATGAGAGGGGTGCCTTATGAATAACTGAAGGCATGCCTCTCCCTCGGGTTTTAGGAGCTAGGAACCAGGACAGAGACCACATGTATTGCTTAGACCACACCTTTCCACTGTGTCAATGTCACTATAATTCTTCAATCCTCAAAATCTCAGCATCAAAGGAAAGCATAACATGATTGCCTGGTGACATTTCAGCTTTTTTCCCAGGTTAGATCACGGACAGTTATGGCACATGATAATTTGAGGGGCACAAAAGGGGGTAGAAGGACCCTCACAAACACATTTTAGTGGAGTCCTTATAAGATCCAGTTTGTTTATGGAGATGTGAGGGACCATTTTTTGGAATAGAAGCTTAGGGAAACTTTTTAGGATATTCTTTGATACTCTCTCACACCAAATATATGGTGTCTTTGCCAACACCAACCAGTTCTCCAGTTCTGACACTACGCGGGGATGGTATCAGATCCTACAAGTTAAAGGGCTCAGTCCCACAAAACCACCCCATTTCAGATGCTCGCTGCAAATGGGGTGCCCAGGCAACTCACACTTCTGCCCAGCCAACTACAGGTTTGTGAATTTCCACAGCCCCGAACAGGTTTGGTAATTGGATAGATAAAGAAGTACCTAGGGTGAGCTACAGAGGAGTCCGAAGTGCATGAACCTCCATGTTCCCATGGAGTTAGTTAGGCTACACTACCACCATCCTTACATGTGAATGCATTCACCAGTCTGGAAGCTCTCTTGATTTATAGAGGTTTCATTATGTAGGCATGATTGATTAAATCCTTGGTCATTGGTGACTGAATTTAATCTCCAGCACCTCTCCCCTCCCTAGAAGTCAGGGGTGAGGTAGGAGGCTGAAAGTTTCAACTCTCTATTCACATGGTTGGTTATTTCCAGAGACCAGCCCCCATCAAGAAGCTATCCAGGAGCCCCTCAAATTAAAGCGGAGATGATATGAAATTTTCTGTTATTATGCAGAAAGGCTGAGATTTTAAAGATTGATATAACCCAGTGTTCCCTGGAGCGGGTGAGGGCGGCATTGCTGCTCAGAAGCTGTTAGGGGAATTCTAAAAACATGTACAACGTGTAGAGAGGGGGGAGTCTAGCAATCTCAGTGTTTTCCCCCATAGATGAGGTGGTGTTTCCTTTGGCTGCTTTCAAGATTTTTTCTTGGTCTTGGTGTGGATTTCTTTGGGTTATTATGTTTGAGGTTTACTCAGAGTCTTGAATCTGTAGGTTTGTGTCTCTTGACAAATTTGCAAGACTTTCAGTCATTATATATTTGAATATTTTTTCTCTTCTTCTGCCTGAACTCCAGTGACATGAGTATTAAATCTTTTGTGATAGTCCCAAAGGTCCTTGATGCTCGGTTAATTTGTTATCAGTCTATTTGCTCTGTTTTTCTTTTTGGAAACTTTCTATTGTTCTCTTCCAATTCACTGATTCTTTCCGCTGACTCCTCCATTCTGCCGTTGAGCCTAATCACTAAGCTTTTTTTTTTCTATTTTTTCTAGATGTTTTCTATATTTTATGTGTTTCGAGTGTGTTCATGATTGCGCTCACTGAAGCATTATTATCATGACTGCCTGAAAATCTTTGTCAGATAATACTAACATCTCTGTCATCTCCAGGTTGGCATCTCTTAATTGTTTTTTCTGTCTGTTTGAGATCTTCCCAGTTGTTCTTAGGACGAGTGATATTCAATTGAAAAGTCATTTTCCTATTATGGTATGAGACTTTATTTTTTTTTTATTATGTCATGTTAGTCACCATACAGTACATCATTAGTTTTTGATGTAATGTTCCATGACTCATTGTTTGCTTACAACACCCAGTGCTCCATGCAATACGGTATGAGATTTTAAATCTCTTGTAAACCTTTAGTTTCTGGACACCTCCCTGTGGGGAGAAAAGGGTGCAATGCCTTATTATTGCCTGGTGGAGGTAGATATCCAGTGTCCCCACTCAGCCTCTGTTGACACACAAGAAGGGGGGATATCTTCATTCATGTTGGCCAGCAGTGGGAGTTCAGGCTCCCCTCACGATCATGATACCATGGAGGGAAAGAAGGGAGAAGGGAAGGAGCTCATCACTGGCCAGCAAGGATGAAACTCCCTACTTAGCCTTCCCTGATACTCACACTTTGGTGGTGATATGGAGTCACCACGTCACAGTTTTGTGAGGGTGGACGTCTAGGCTCTCTCCTAGGCTTTTGCTGGTGTGGCTGGCATTTGGGCTATAATTTTTCTGGGGTTCATTTGGAGGAGAAAGATTGTTGTCTAAACATTTTCTGTCTTTCTAGGCTGCCCCTACCCTGGTCCTCTGGCTAGAGAGAACAGGGTTTGTTGGGGCTTTTTAAATAATCTGTTGCTGATGGTATTCCCACGTTGCCATCTTCTTCAGTTCCAAGTCTGAGATCAGTGGAGCAAAAGAAAATGCAGGGAACTCACCACTCCTAAACTCAGATTTGTCTGAGATCAGTGGAGCAAAAGAAAATGCAAGGAACTCACCTAAGGTCCCTAGCACCTCTGCCTTTTTTCTGTCTTTCAGAGTTTTCTTATGTTTGCTTTTTAATATCCAGTATTTTTAGCTGTAGTTAGTGGGAATGCTCATGAAAGTATGACTACTCCATCTCCATATGAATTTTAGTATTGTTTACTTATTCATTCAGCCTTTTTTTTGAGTGCCTGTGATACAACCATGAATAAGCCATTTGTGGTCATTACTCTCACAGAGCTTGTGGACAAGTGAACATCAGGTATAAGAGAGTGAGGTCAGGGTCATTGTGAGGGAAGTACGTGGTGTTGTGAAAGCAGAGAAGAGGGCTTCTTGAAAGAAGTGACATCTGAG